TAGCAAGCCACATAGCGCTTGAGCCCTCCCTCCCACCCGTTTAATCGGTTAGCCAGTTAAACATAACGTTTAACCGGTTCCATGAATGGGGTTTGACATCCCTACTAGCCCCCGCTGAGCCATGCTTCTCCCAACAGAAAACGGCATTTGACCAGGACACTGTTAAAGGAAAAACATGGGTGGAAAAAGCCTACCTGTCTGGATCGAAGACCCCCAGGGGCCCTGCTGCGGCCGGGCGCTGCTGCTGCTGGTGGGTCTCTTCCCGGGCCTGCAGGTACGCTCGCTCCAGAGCATCCTGCGCCTCCTTCAGCCTCGCAAATCCCTGGGGGGGGAGGGGGGGAAACACATTGAAACGCCTGCGTCTGAGCCTTCGGCCCCCACACGGTCCAGGGCCCTGTGCCAGATGACTCTCCCACAGCAGTGCCTGGCTAGGCTGGGAGGGAGGGATTTTGAACTCCAGCCTGGCAGCACCGGGCCTGTGAATCCTGGATAAAGCCAGGACCACGTACATGTCGCCATGGTAAGTCTCCAGGGAGCTAGACCTGGGAACTTCAGAGCCTCTGTCCGTTGAGCTAGAGGGTAACTCCATTTTCTGTGCATGCATAGCAGGCTTTTGTCCTCTTTGGGCCAGCTGCAATTTGGCCCACGCACCCAATCAGCATATTACAATGGCACAAGGAATAACAGATCCCACAGAGGCAGCGTCTAAACCGTCCCTAGCACACCAATGTGAATTAACCCTGACCGCTCCACAGCAATAGTTACCCTCATTTTTTCCCATCCCTGTGCAGAATAAATTTTGTTATGTGCACCAAGGCATGTGGGGATGTGCACCCCAGAAACACACGCTGCTGGCTGTGGGCGCTCTGCTAACCAGCTGGGCGGCATTTGAATCTCTTCTGGGCGGCTGCCCAAGCGCTTGGCTTGCAGGGAACGTTGCTCTTCGGGGTTCTTTGGTACAGCAAGCCAGCAGGCTCAGCAAAATGCAAGTGCAGTGAAAGCTTTAGATACAGCTGACCCCAGCTCAGCAATACCCCAGCAGCCTCCCCCCGCCCCCTCTGCATGTGAGCGCTCGCTAAATACAGCATTGCTACCTCCTCCCCGCTGTGCTGCCCGGCTGGTCTCGCGCTCCTACGCTGAAGCTGGGGCCAGGCTTTGGAGGGCCGTAGCTGGACTGTGCCTCGCTGCGGCAGCGTCACAATGTTGGCATCGCCATGGCAGGTTGTCCCATCACCCCTCGTGCCTGTGCAAAGCGTCACGAGGCGACGGTGCTGGGCCGTGACACTGAGCAGCCTTGGGCACAGGGACTCTGCTTTGTTTGGGAAGGGGGGGGGGCTCTCCAGGCGTTTCAGCCCTTCAGGGATGCTCTAGGGCCTGGCGTGCACGTGCCCAGCACGAGATGCATCTGCCATGCTGCAGACGCCACCTGGCAATGAGGGGAGTCTCCGAAAAGGGGCCGGGAAGAGAGGCAGAGAGTAACGCTGGGCGTACCGTTAGCTGGGCCTGTGGCGTCAGCCTCCCGGTTTGGATCAGTCCCTCGAAGGATTCCACCTGGACAGGCAGAAAATGACATTAACTACCGGCCCATGGAGCTGCCTACGGGAAGGTGAGTCTAACCGTCAATGACAACGGAGGGCAGCCTCCTGTTCCTGCCCCTCCTCTTCCTCCTGGCTCCTTTCTTAGGCCCCAGCCCTTGCTGGAGTCTCCCTCAGAAGTGAGGAATTCAAACGCCGCCTCCCCACCCCTGCTCTGATTTGACTGGGGTTCGTTCCAGGCACCGTCGTTGGCTCGCTCTGGGCCCAACTTGCCTGCGTCTCAAATTTCCTCGCCTGACCAGCCAGAGTCTGCGTCAGGGGATCCACTGGAAAGCGTCTCTCCGCAGAGGCGCAGGCGTCAAGCCCAGCGAAGTGGGGGAGCGCAGCATGGGCTGGTGGGGGCGTAGCCTGGTCTCCCGCTGCCGAGGGCGGCCCTGGAACAGAAGACACAGGTGAGAAGAGCCAGCGTTGTCATCTCCATTCTCCAGCTGGCTCCAGAGCTCAGGGGCCAACTCCAACAAGCCCCCCTCCCCTCGCCCGGCCTGCCGGACTCTGGAGCAGTGAGATCAGACAGGCGCTGCCCATTCCCAGCGGAGCCCCCGGGAGCCAGCGAGCCCAGGCCTGAAGCATTCGGGGGCTGGTCTCTGGCGCACCGCTCGACTGGCTCGTGAACGAGCGTCTGTCTCGGCCAGCGGACTGGGCCAGGGTGAGCAGTCCACCCCGCTCCGCTCCCTTCGCTTCTCCCACCGCCGCTGAGAAGCTGGTGGGGGGGGGGGGGGGGGTTTGG